TCATATGACACCCACCTTTTGAATGTAGCTTATGAAATATGAAAGTTATGAAGAATATGATGAAGTGCATTTTGGAACCACTGGTGGTCCCAAAGAGTTGAAGAGTTAGACTTCAAACTGAAGATCATTGACGTCTAAGGCTCAGCGTCCCAGTCCTTAAGGACCCCCTGCACATTTGGGGGTTTTTCTGCTCCCAACACTCCCAGTTTAAATCATGAAGGGGTTATAATTAGTTAAGGTTGTCAGTGTCTATGAACTGTGCTCTTTCTGTGAGAGCTGAGCAAGTGGCGGTCTTAGGGGTCCAAGCACTGAGTGTTTTTTGGTGCCAGTATAGGCCTTTCAGCAGGTGCAACAAAATCACTTAGAGTTTTTAGAATGGCCTTTATTTATTATAACGGATGAAAAAAAGATTAAAATTAAATGTTTGCCAGATTTTGTACACACTGATATTGGTAGGGTAAGCAATAGTCTTTTAAGCAAAATTTCGAGATAGCTCTAAAGCAGTACCGTCTTTTGACGTGATTTGAATTGCCGTATTTGTTGAACTCATTGAAATGAATCTTTCTACCATCTTCATGTTTCAAAGGAAGTGCTTGATTTGGGTTTGGATCAACCCAAAAACCCAAATTTTATGAGCATAAAAGTAATAATTATTTGCTAAAATAAGTTATATGTGGAGGATCATCTTCAGTCAGAATCAGTGTCTTGTCTGGATGAGGAATTGAACCTTTGACCTTTGTGCATGGGGATGGTGTAATCCACTGCATTACAGCTGACACCCAGTACTACAGCTAACATAAGCCACTGGATAGTAAAATCACTCTTAACAATCCTGATATAATATTAGTAGTTTTACCCAAAAGTATTACTGGTATTGCAGTGGTGTTTCTGCCTGGATTGAGATTATAACCTTTGTGTGAGAGACTGTGGTGTTGCCCTGGCCACTGCACCTTTAATGTGATCTGTATTACTGTAAAATGGGTAGGTGCTGCTGTTTTGTGGTGCTGACTGGTGCCCCCTTGTGGCGCTCCTGTACAACAACCACTCCAGGAGCCAGTCTGAGATCCCCTCGTTTTTATTTTTGTGTAGCTGTCAGTGATCAGTCTTCATATCTTACTGTTCATATCTACATATCTTACCTGCATGTTTGACCTTTACCCTGCAAACATTCTTTAACCTTCATGCCTGTCCGATCTTCTGCTTCTCCACTTTTAGTGTTTTAGAGTTTAGTGGTCATAGTCATGCTGCAGGCAGGCCAGTGAGGATGGATGAGGTCACTTATTTTCTTTTCATTGTGCTTCCCAGTAATACAAAGACTGTTTTATAAAAATATAAGGTTTAATTTAATATTATTACTTTAATTCACAGTTAATGAAATAAGGGGAACTCCACCAACCTGTCAAAATTTCTGCGTAATTAAATCATTGAGATGTAAACAAAGTCATTCACAGTGGTTTGGTGTGAAGTGCTCCGTTCCAGAGAAACTTGAGTGTGAATTGTTCACAGTGGTGGTGATAGGAACCAGACATCTGAAGTGTTTAATGCCTCTAAAAGCTCCCTCACAGAAAGATATTACATGAAGCGGTGATGAATACACTGCTTCACACTTGAGATATTATTTTATGATAATTTTATGACCAAATATTGGCCTTAAATGTACTTTTAAAATCTATTTATGGTGAAAAGGTACATGCAGAATGTTGTAAGGAAAACAGTGCCCAATATGTTTCACCATCATCACTACATATAAAAAGTCAGAAGACACATGTAGGCTCACTGGTTGTTCTTTATAGTGAACAAAATGGCTATATTTGCATTGCCGACATTCCGACCGCTGGTTCATATCACCACCATCTGTAGGAAATCAGTCTCTGAGTCTCTTTCTCTACAATAAACCATTCTTGTCCAACCACTCCAAATGACACTGTTTACATCTCAGTGATTGAATTATGCAGAAATTTAGAAAAGTCAGTGTTATTCCCCTTCAAAAGCCCCACACGGAAAGCTACATAAAATTGAGGCTACTCATAATATTTTTTGCTGATATTGTTATGCTCTGTTTTTTATCATTCTACAAATTCATACAGAACTTTACATCTCTTCCTTTGAATAAAATGTCAGTATTATCTCACAGTGAAGTCTGTTGGCTAAGCATGGATCCATGTGGTACTGCCTGTTGGGGATGATGCTGTCTGGAGCAAAGCACTGCAGATGGGATCCCAACTGGCCGTGTCTCTTTTTTAGACTGTTCTTTTGACACTTAAAATGACAAACTTATTACACATTCAGTGACAAACTTATTGAGTGCGTGTTGAACAATGATTCATTGATGTTATGACGAATGCTTCCACACATTTGTACATTAAAAGTGAATTGAACTGTTTTTTTTTTTCAGAATTTCTGCATAATCAGATAATGTAATGTGATGCAGCTTTTAGAGGCATTAAACACTGAACATCTGGGTCCTTTCACCACCATTGTGAAAAATCTCTAGAATGAAGCATTTCACATCAAACCACTCTGAATGACTTTTGAAAAATTGGTAAAATTATCCTTTAACACACGTCTGCTGCACAAATCCAAACGCTTGATTTCACATCCATTTTTCAAACGAATGACTATTAAAATGACTGAAGTCCTCAGAGCTGGAAGCCAAGTTTACACAGCATAAAAGTTTTGCCTTAAGCCTTGTATTACTCTTCTATAACGGGTGCCAAATACAAGAATAAATGTGGTTTGAGAGTTATGGCCTAAACTGTGTAATTAAACCAGTAGGTGTCAAACCCCAGTTCCACAGGGACAAGGCACTGAGCGGTTGTACAACAGGAAATAAATCAAGACACTGAATTTTTGCTCTTTTGGCATTTCTGAACATAAAATATTTAACTTTTCTGTCATGTTTTACCCAGAAAAACATGTTTAATCTACTTATAGCAGTCTTGTATCAAACAAAATTTCTGCAGTTGAGATGAGCTGATTTAAATGTTGCTGGGAGTCAGACATGGTTTTATTAGATGCGAAGTACCTCTTAGAAGTCACTCTCTCACTCACTCATGTTTAGCAGGCTAAGATTCCTCCACAAGAGGGTGCCAGTTAGCAGTCAAATAGCTTAATGGCACTATGTATGTGTGTGTGTACACATTATAACATAGTATTTTCTCATTACCATAACACACTGACAGCCATTGAAGTTTTTCTTTTTTACTTGTGCCACATAACATTTTGTTTTTTGGTTCACTTTACATATAGTCCATATATGGAAACAACACTGCAAGATCAGCCGATTTTGAACACATTTACATGCATCTACATATTCAGCCTACAGCTGTTTAGCTCTGCCCATTCATTCTCAAAAGCACAGCAACAAAAACAACTTGTTTAATTCTAAAGGATGAACAGAGTTAATTAATTAACAACTCAGTGTTTTAAACACCTCAGCGTCACTGCTGGACTGAGAATAGTGACCAACCAAAAATATTCAGCCAACAGCATCCTGTGACCACTGATGAAGGATTAAAGGATGACCAACACAAACTGTGCAGCAACGGATGAGCTACTGTCTCTGCCTTTAGATCTTCAAGGTGGACCAACAAGATTGGTGTGTCTAATAGAGTGGACAGTGAATGGACACAGTGTTTAAAAACTCCAGCAGCACAGCTGTGTCTGATCCACTCAAACCAGCACAACACACACTAACACACCACCAGCACATGACTATGTTAATGTTATGGCTGATTGGTGTATTTTTTATTGGTCTAATACTCATCATCCCTTCATTCTGGATTCAGAGCAGGTAGCGCTTTCCTTGAACAGAGTTCATTTTATGCTTTGAAACTCTTTATAACTTATTTCCTTTAGTGTTTTTGACAAAGTATTAATCAAAGTAAGTGCTTAACTTTCAGAAAACGTTTTTTTTTCCCACCACAGGCTGTAAAATATCATAACATATGAGCTGTTTTCGCCATAAATGACTGGGTAACAGGGTTGAAGCGAGTAATAGTACTGAACACTGAGATCATATTCCCCATTAGGCTGATATTAATGCAGTAAAAACCACATAAATAATACAACATAGAGCAGACAGGAAACCTGAAAAATTGTTTTAATCAAAATGCTTGTTTTAAACCATTTTAATTTCATTTTCATTTAAAGTAATTGAAGGTTAAAAATGAGTAACAGGGTTGCAAATGTAGCCTAAAACAAGCTAATAAGCTAAAATTCATGAGTGGCTAGCTTGACAGGGTGCATATTTTTTCAGATAGCAGTGTTACTGGAGCTTTTAAACACTGTGTCCAGTCAGAGACGATAGCTCATCTGCTGCTGCACAGTTTGTGTTGGTCATCCTCTGGTCCTTCATCAGTGGTCACAGGACACTGTTGGCTGGATATTTTTGGTTGGTGGACTATTCTCAGTCCAGCAGTGACACTGAGGTGTTTAAAAACCTCAGCAGCACTGCTGTGTCTGATCCACTCAGACCAGCGCAACACACACTAACACACCACCAGTGTTACTGCAGTGCTGAGAATGATCCACTACCCAAATAGTACCTGCTCTGTGAGGGTCCATGGAGGTCCTGACCACTGAAGAACAGGGTCAAAGGAGGCTAACAAAGTATGCAGAGAAACAGAGGGACTACAGTCTGTAATTGTAGATCGGTGTAAATCCTATAGAGAAGTTCAATGTCAGGTGGAACAGCCCAAAATCAATATTTTAAAGGTGGACACAGACATTTGAAGTGTTTTATAATCATTTAAATGCGAATTTTAATCATTTTATTTTAGGTTAAAGATCACCTTTTACAGGAATAAGTATTGCTTTTAAAAACTTAATGGGACATAAAGTGAACTCTATTTATGGAAATTGCCAGGTAGGTGATTTTGGTTCAATCCAATCCAGACCCAATCCAGCCAGTCCACCTTTTCGTTGCGCTCCAAATCCTAACACGCCTGAGGCCAGGTGAAATGCTCCTTATTCTGCTGCTTCAGGTGTATTTGGAGTTAAACTGGATAAAATGGTGAGATGGATCGTTAATTCGGGCTGGTTTCGGGGAGTTTCCCGCTGACTAACCGTTTCCATAAAGACGCTCATGTGATGTAGCGCGTCACGGGTGAAGCCGCTCTCGGTGCGGAACTGAACGCAAACAAGGAAAAGCTTCCCTTCATCAAGAGCCACGACAAAAACAGAGCTCCCCGATTTACTGACAGAGTCGACGGGTGATTATAACATTTACTATATATTTATGAACCAGTCGTTGACATTATGAACAGATGCTCAGCTCGCTTTTCTGTGTTCTTCCTTCTTTGTTTACTTTCTGTTGTGACGTTAGCTGCCTAGCTAGCCGGTTAGCAATAGCTCTTCCTGGTTGTGACGACTGGGTGGGTGTTTATTTGTTCGTTTATACAAAGTTTTACATGGAATTTCTCAGCTTTCGTCCCATTTCAGCAACGATATAGCGATTAGTATGTAATTATATGCGAATTTGTTGACCGAGTTACCTGTTAATTTGTTCAGCTATAAATAGCTAAGCTAGCTAGCATAGCTATCCTGCTAGCTAACTGGCTCTACGATAACGTCACTTTTCCTTGTTGGTCTTTGATGTAGTTAGATATTTCAGTTCTTTCTTACTCGTGTTTGGGCAGCAGGCTTATATCTGCTTAGCTGGGAATAGAGGAAAAAGCTAGCTGTATGACTGATGTTGTTTTCTTGATAGCTACAAATGCACAGGGGTCGATGGCATGTTGTACACGCTTAAAAAATATGGTTCTCCAAGGGTTCTTCAGTTAAAGGAATAGCCCTGTGTAGAACCTTCAGTTCTGTATATAACCATTTTATACCTAAATGTTTATTTGCATGGTGAAATGGCTCTTCAGATAGATGGAGAATGTTTTTGTAGATGGTTCTAAAATAAAACACATTTTGAAATGATTCCAAAAATGATTCTGCTATTGTTATTATGTCAGACTGGGAATAGTTAAAGAACCCTTTTGGTGCTGTATAGAACTATTTTCAAAAAGGTTCTATATAGAACCATATACAACACATTGTCATATTCAATCAGAAGCACCATTCCACCATCCATAGAGGCATTTAAGCATGAAATGGGTCTGTATAGAACTCGCCCTAAATAGGATGATTCCCTTTACTAAAGAACACTTGAAGAACCATCTGTTTTATGTAGAGCAACCAAAAAACAGCTGTCATAATGTCCACTTTACTGAAACATTAATTTCTAGCTGTTAGGCTATCTTCTCAAATCCATGCCAGACTGAGTAAGCATCTCCTCCCATCTGTGCTTATTTTTGCTGTCTGTTGTCCACAGTGGTCTGTCCATCATGCTTGGTGGTGGATTTAAGGCAGAGAGACTTCGTGTCAATCTCAGACTTGTCATAAATCGCCTCAAACTCCTTGAGAAGAAGAAAAGTGAGTCATTTCTCTCCTGCTTGTCTGAATATACATGTTTTAAGACTACAGATGTTAACTCCCATTATGTCTTTTGTTTTGTCTATAGCTGAATTGGCCCAGAAGGCACGTAAGGAGATTGCTGACTACTTGTCAGCAGGGAAAGATGAGCGAGCACGGATCAGAGTGGAGCACATCATCAGAGAAGATTATCTGGTGGAGGCAATGGAGATCCTCGAGTTATACTGTGATCTGCTGCTGGCACGCTTTGGCCTAATCCAGTCTATGAAGTGAGTTACCTACATTAGCGTGTAGCCAACAGTACCTCCATGATCCTCTCACCAGTGTTAGGTTCATTCTCTGAGATTTGTTGTTTTTTTTTGTTCCCCCACAGAGAGCTTGACCCTGGCCTTCAAGAAGCAGTGTCCACTCTAATCTGGGCTGCTCCACGACTGCAGTCAGAAGTCTCAGAACTCAAAATTGTGAATATATCATGATTTATCTTAACACAAAGAATGTGGGAGTTCTGTAATTTCATAACATTTTGTTTACCACTTCTTGATCAGTTACACCTATTGTGTCTTACAGGTTTCAGATCAGCTGTGTGCCAAATACAGCAAGGAGTACGGCAAGCTTTGTAGGACAAATCAAATTGGAACAGTCAATGACCGAGTATGATGCAGGCTTGTATTGATTACACTAAATGTTATGACTTAATCCTTGTGTTTCTGCTCTTAATCCTTATTTCAACTGTGTTTTCCCAGCTCATGCACAAACTGAGTGTGGAGGCCCCACCTAAAATCCTGGTGGAGCGTTACCTCATTGAGATTGCAAAAAACTACAACGTTCCTTATGAACCTGACGCTATGGTTCGGGTAAGACTCACAAATTTCAGTTCAGTTGTTCTTCAGATATCCACTTAGACATCCAGATATTGATTCCATTCTCTTCTGTTTAATACTGTACATACAGCCAGAAGTGTGCCAAGGAGAAGAGGCTGATCTCATAGATGTGGACAGTGACTTCAAGAAGCCTGGTGGTGGAGGTGGAGGTGGTGGAGGCTTCACTGCTCCTGCTGCTACTATTCCCATGCCCATGCCAATGCCAATGCCTATGCCCATGCCTACAGCCTTCAACTACCCTCCACCTAAGGGAGCTGTAAGACAGTCATTCATACCAATTATAGATGAATCACTGTGGTTAAAATTCATAGTTTAGGTCTACATTTGCCATGAATTTGAATTAAATTCAAAATCTAGTAATGTAATGCTATCAGTGCCTAATGCTGCATTCACATGTTTACGTGTGCAGCTGTTAGCGTCGTGAAGCTAGTATAGAACTAGAATGTAGTTTGTCTACTGCAAACATGTGAACTCAGCATTAATGTAGCATGAATTCTGGCTAAACTGTCCTCTTATGTCTGTAGGAGCCTTTTAATGGTCCTGTTGGCAACTATGATGGCTTTGGCAACTTCCAGCCTCCGGTGAGAGGAGGGCCCCCTCCGCAGCTTCCAAGTTGCCCCCCCACTTATGAGTCTGTAAGTGCAAGTTGTCCCTGCCCCTTCCCATCCTTCCAGACAGACCAGGACGGCCTATTCGCCTTTCAGGGAAGGAGTTTATTATAGTTCATACACCCTGCTGCTTGGGTTTATGGCAGTGCTTTCCATCAATTCTTATTCTCACTTGGGGAGCAGTTGCAAGCTATGAACTAACCCCTAGAGATGTGGCATGTATGTCTCATCTGTTTTAGAGTTTTATACACTTGGGACTAACACTACATAGGTTGTATAGTTCCTGGATAAATTAAACACAGGTACACCCTAATGAGTGATTTACAACTGAACATAGTGGTCCCCTGAGGATTTAAGTTCAAATTTAGGTTCAGGTGTTTTTCCCAGTGAGCATGTATGCAGCCAGCCTTCAAGTGCCTGTTAAAGACTAGCTGCATATTTATCTTAACTGAGCTACTTTCCCGTGCCCGGGAATGTGTTGGTGGTTATGCTGGTCTAGCATGGGTCTGCTCTGGAATGAGAAACTATTGAAGCCTTTTCCACAGGGAAATAACACACTAACACCATCACCTGAATGTATCATTATGTAATGTAATGTATGAATACTGGGGCTGGCCTGTGTAATTCAAATACTGAAGTATTTGTTCATTACTTGGGCACCTGGTTCTCTGTTTAGTATTCGGAAGCACTGTCTTTTTTGTGCTTTCCACGTGGACATTTAAGCAAGTGAAGATGCTTAAGAAATGGCTTTAAATTATTTTACAATAAGAAAAACACTAAGTGCAAAACTGGTGATAAGAGGTTAGAATACTGCAGAGACGTCACAAGTTTGATGAATCATCTAAACTAAGTAAGTGTAGTTATTCTTATCGGAGTACCACTTGGTTCTGATGAGGGTGATGCTAAAACCAGGGGGCTCAGAGCCTCAAACTGGTTTCTAATGTTGAGTTCTGGCAGTGGATGAAGAGGGAAGCACCCATGCTGTTGAGTCTGAGTCTGGCGTGGGGGTGAACTTTTTAGTTTCACACTTAGAACCTAGATATGTGACTCATAAAACCTGTATTTAAACAAGAGGCTACAATCACTGATTTTGTCACAGCAACATATTGTGCACGAGCAGTTGGGCTTCAGTGTTAATACATTGCCACCTATCCACCTATTGGATATATTTTGTACTGCAGTAACGGACATACTAAAACAACAAATTGTTTTTAAGGATGATTATGAGAGCTAGTGTTTGAGTACTCGTTTGTAAAAACCAACAAATACTCTTCAGGCCAGCCCTAATGAATGCATATTATAATTTCTAACATGTGTTGATGCTTTTTCTTGAAGATTGATGACTTGGCTGTGAAACCATCTGATTCTCCCCAGGTTGTCCCAGGTATGTCTAACTAATGTGCTTATCATAGTTCATCATTATGGGATCATTGTTCTGGTTTTATGTTGACTCTGCTTTCATTCTGTAGGCCCTGGCCCATCTTCTCAGATCTACGATAACAATGCACTTCCCGAGCTCCCCTCGGTTCCTGACACACTCCCTGCCTCCTCCTTGGGTGGGAACACCACCGCTTCAGATGACATTGACTTTGACGACCTGTCACGACGCTTTGAGGAGCTGAAGAAGAAGACCTAATCCCTCAGATGCCCGCTGTGCCCGCTGTATTATCCTGTCGATGGATCCTTCAAGAGATGCAAAGAGCCCTGGTCAGATATCTACCCAAAATCTTCATCTGCAGCAATGATTTCTAATCATTACAGACATCTGTATAACCTTACCTCATTCAAAAACACAGTGGTGTCTTTCTGGTGTACTTCTGGTGGAGGTTTAGTAATTTAATCATAACTTGGAAATGAAGGATGTGATGGAGTTTGAACATTTGTGAACTATACTGGCAGAAATTTGTACACCATTGTTTAGACTTTTCACAAAAAACTATTGGTATATAAAAAAATGGAGAAACCCTTTTTAAGCACTTTGCATATAAGGCCTTTCGGAGAGCTAGATGAAGTTAGTCATCTGTAATGTAGTATAGCCAGTGCATTGCCACACCCAGGTGGCATGACATCATTGTCATTTGACCTTTTAGCTTTGTCACTTTCAAGTAGGTAGGAGTGCCATCAGTGGGGAATGACATTTGAAATACATAAGAGTTTAAACCAAAAACATATAACTTTGTTGCGTGGATCTGTTTATAGGGAGTCATCAATCTTTTCCGGTAGTTTAAAGGACAGGCTGGTTTAACCTGTTGTCAGATAACATCCACAGTAGTGGTAGGATTGTTCTGAATGACTGGTATTCACCCTGCACTCTACGTCATTACTGAATGGGGTTTATCAGCTGTCATGTGCGAATGACTTGCAGAATGTCTTTGGAATAACCCAGCTAGAGGAGTTGTGGACAGCAGTTTGTCAGTTTCTTGTTTCTACTGTATTTCAAGTCATTATTTATCAATCTGCCATAAGCAGAGCATGATTGTTCTAGATTTTGCTGGCTTTCAAATTAAACTGACCAATTCTTTGTGTTTATGTTAATTGTTGGGAGTTTCACTTTCTGTTTAGAGCTTATGTCATGATAAAGAATGCTGTAGACTTGTGGTATGAGTGAATAGCCTGATAGATAGGTGAGACACCACCTGACTCCTGTGAAGTGTAATTCAGGCTGTGGAGAACTGAATGTAACAGGTCTAGGATGGCTCACACTCCTGTTAGTGCATTTTGTGTTCTTGCCCCACTGCATTTACATTTTGCCTTTGTTCTGACCTGATCATCTGTGGCCTTGCCATTCTACTCCTTGCTGTGGGAAATGTGACCATCCCGTCAGCCGGTGCAGTGAATACGACATTCAGATCACTAACTGTATATTAGTCTTTTCTTCGGTGAAGGTTTTCATTTTATTATTATTATTATTATTTTTTTTTTGTTTGTTTGTATGAATTCACATTTGTTTCTGGTTTGCGTTAGTAATATTTTTTGAGATAGGAAGAATTGGTTAATATGTTTTATTTGTGTTGTTTCTCTGCCTTTGGTGTTTGCTTTTTTCCTGCAGCCATTTATTTTCTCCTCTGAAAATGAGGCCTGTAACACTACTGCACAGCAACCCCTTGCGGTCAGTTAATGGAGCAATATGGGGAATAGTAGGAGTGCTTGATTCTAATTTTAACATGTATTGGAAACGTATCAGATGGTCATATAATAAAGTATATTTGCTCATATCGTTTCTCACGCTACTACTAAATAATGGTTTTATTAAAGGACTACTTTGAATCTTTTGTTGGAATGTTTTTTCTCCATTAACACTGACATTGATGTGTGTTTCAGTAGGATGAGCTGCAATTAAAGTTTCTAAGAGCATGTAAAACCTGGCTTACTGCGGAAAAACAGAGTGCATGTTCCTTATAATAACCTCTAGAGGGTGCCCTCATCCCATCTGCTGCTTAGTTCCCTGCCACAGAGCACCTTGGAGGAATAAATAACACACTTATCAGATCCAGCCTTTTTTTCTTTTTGTTAGCAGTCTAACATAGATAAGTGTAATATTACTCTTATTTTTATTCCAGAATGCAGTTAGATTTGTTTTTTAGATAGTAGGTAAAATGGCTCTATTTGTGGTGTTGACGTTGCAACCCCTGGTTCCTATCACCACCACTGTAAAGAGTCTGTAAGGCCCAATCCCATTTCACCTCTTAGCCCTACCACTTAGCCCTTACCCCTCTGTTTTGCGCATTCATGCCTAGGGGGTAGGGTGTCCCGATTTTTCTGAGATAGAGGGGTAGGGCGAAGTGTTAGGGCCACATGACCTTCCAAACGGAGGTTTTTTTTAGAGGCGCCCTCCAAACAGAGTGTTATGACAGAAAGAAAAAAAAAAACAAAAAAACGCAAAGATGGCTGCGCGAGCGACCAAAGAAACACACAAATGTGAGTATTTTTTCTGTTCAAAAACATTGATAACCACTGTATTATCTTAGTTCAGTGTTGTCAATGTATTATGGTCCTTTTCTTCATAACAAGCATAAGCATCACTAGTAGTATGCTGATGTCTTGGTAGCTAGCTGGCTAAATTTCCACCTTAAATAGTCCAGCGGTTATATTCTGCTGTTTCAGCCATCAGGACCCCTGCACCATTTAAGGTGGAGCGGGAAAATTCAAACAAGAAGCTGGCGAACAGCTGCCTAAATGTAACTATAGCCCAGCAGTGAGGTTGCAGAACTTTACCTTCCTCTGCTTTCACTCTAGGCCGCCTACAGAGCAGCTAACTAGTAACTAGTTAACCTAGTTAACCATTAACTAGTAGCCTGTTAATGAAGTAATGTTTTTTTATTTGAGGTTCGTCACATTTCGTAGAGGGATTTCAACCACTACCCCTTGTAACTCGGTCCCAAAGGGGCAAGGTGACCCTCGAAAACAAGGGGTAGGGGTAAAAATAAGAAATGGGATTGGGCCTTAGTTTTCATTTCACATCAAACCACTCTGAGTAACTCCTTTTGCATCCTAGCAATTTAATTGTATAAAAATTGTGAAAATCAGTGGAAGTCCCTTTGTTTCTCTAATTATGTTTAACTGACCTTAAATTATTGCTTAAGTTGGAATTCTGACGATGCATTAGGGATGTTAAATTTTCACATATTTCCTGAAGCTGTTTAATAGCTTTTGCAATTCTCCAGACCTCAAAGAACTTCAGAGAAGGTTTTCACGTTTTTAATGTTCTCCCAAGCCAACATTTCCTGACCCCCATCTGTGAACTGAACACCACTGTGTATTGAACCAAGATATGTGATTGGACATTTATGCAGTGGAATTTGGAGTAGCAGCGTCCATTCAGCTCAACTTGTATCTGTAGAAAGTCTATTAGGCACATGAAAAATGGTAGGGTAATAGTAGGCGATAGCTCCTATTCCCTAAAGACCAAGAACTTGCTTTTGCAAGTTCCCAATGCTCTCCAGCACATCTAATTCAAGTTGTGAAGATTTAGGGTGTCCAGATCAGGCTTAGTGCATCCTGCTGATGGGTCAGATGCTGGATAGTCTGGACGATTCCTTTTGGACTCTCTCACCTCTCCCGCCTTGAGGCCTGGACTGGGTGTCTCTCAGTATAGTGCCAATAGGTTCTTGCTTCTGAGAGCAAGAAGGGTGCAGACTCAAGGGAGGTCACATGGGCCAGGAGAGCAACCGAGGCAGCTTGGAGTGTGATGACACATGCAGGATAAAACAGGACATGGCAGGACAGCCCAGTAGAGAGCGGAGGGGGAGGTGAGGAGGGGGGGGGGTGTAAAAGAGGCAATGACACTGCTATCTAATTGTGTAAGTGTGTGTTGAGCGTTGTGCTGCACTGTCAACCTCCGTCAGCTTCCACTCTCTGAGTCTTCATGAAAAGGTCTTCCACTGTCGCACCCACTTAAAACGGCTATTTACAGTTTTAAATCATTTCACCTCTTATTAGCTTCTCACAGAGCAAAGACTACAAGAGCAGTGCATTATTAGCGCTGAAGATACAGCGAGAGACATAGGCAGCTATTACAGTGGAGAAGATTTGTAGTTTTAACTGTAAAAAGTAACAAGGTTGACTTAAGATTTTCAGTTACTTTAAGTTATATTAGTAAATAGAACAATAATCGGGGTCTTACATTTTTACCAGCAGGCACACAGTGTGGATGTGATGTCTTTTTCTTGTTGGATGCTGGTCATGACAAATGACCTAAACACAACCAGTTTATTAAAAATGATTGAGATTTTGGTTTAGAATATGTTGAAATGTGACTTGAATTTGCAGGTGTGTTGAAGATTGGTTTTATATGAGGTTCTAATAATATTATATATTACACACACACAAACACACACACACATCTTCTAAGCTGCTTATCCTTCTGGGTCGCAGGGGGAAGCTGGAGTCTGTCCCAGCGGTCATTGGGCGGAAGGCAGGAAACGCCCTGGACAGGTCGCCAGTCCATCACAGTATATAATATATTAGTAAATCTGAAAAAATAAGTTTATTATAAAAAAATAATAATTCCTTTTAGAGAAACTTGTCTCTTCAGATCTCTTTATAATGGTAGTGATGGGAACCAGGGGTCACAATGTCTACAACACAAATATAGCCATTTTATTGTTATATGTTATATTGTTATATTTATATGTTTATTGTTTGTGTTTATTATATACTATCCATACCAATCAGTGGACCTACACGTCTTCTGAGTTTTTATATGTAATGTTGATGATGGAAAATAGTAGTAAAGCTGAAAAACCAAGTGTATTTGGGGCCTATTTGCAGGTGTGTTTGTGCTGGCTATTAAAAATGGTGCTCATCAGTAGGCAGAAGTCAGTTGAAAAGAAGTTGAGAAGACATCTTTCACTCACATCAGCCATCAGTCGAAATGTGGTTATTATCTAAAGTTATTAATTCAGCTTTTTAAGCCTGGTTACTTACTTCTAAAGTTACCTTTACAGGTAAAAGACCTGTTTTTATTCAGACTGTAGTTTTAGATTGATGTTCTGGATGTCCATGAATGACCTGTTTATATGGTTTATATGGTGGTTTATATGGTTATATGGTGCAGAATTAAATACATCATTGCAGTCACATGAAATACATTAACAGAGAGCAAATGAGGAACCAGGGGTCACAGTGTCTACAACACACATATAGCCATTTTATTTACTGTCCAAAACAATCAGTGGGCCTTCATGTGTCTTCTGAGTTTTTATATGTAATGTTGATGATAGAAAATATTAGTAAATCTGAAAAAAAAAATGTATTTGTGGACTATTTTGCCTTGCAACACCCCACATGTATCCCTCCACCAGGAATGATTTTTAAAATATATGTTTTCGGCCAAAACTTCAACTCAAAACTATCGTAAAACAGCACTTGAGGCATCAGGTAGCATATGAATAAGCATTTCATTTCAGAACTATTTGAGAGGGAGCTTTTAGAGCCATTAAAAGCTTTGGATGTCTGAATGTCTTGGACTGTAAACAATTCAGACTCGGTACGCTTCTCTCCAATCAAGTATTTCACATCAAACATCTGAATTATTTATTTATTTATTCAGAAATTTGGAATTCCCCTTCAAAGTGACTGTTTTAAACTTGGACACAGGGTTTATCAAGCCAGAGCATTTCATGCAGACATTGAGGAAATAGCTTGGTGTGGCCACTATCTTAGTTATGTAACCATACTATTGTCCACTCTATAGAGAAAAGTGTGTTATACAGTCTTAAAAACCACATAAGCAAGTCTTTTTGAGATGTACAACTTAATGTAATTTGAGGCCTGAAGATTTAAAAAGCTTTCTTCTGGCACGCTTTCCTAATGGTTTGTTGGCATGGAGGTGGCACCTAGTTGTAGGGTTAGAGACGTACTGACCAAAAATGCTACCATCTTCTGCAAATCTCCAACCGTGATCATGCAGCCTCTTTCAGGCGGATTCACTACAGCTCCAGTTGTTTTAGCTTTCTAATTATTTCCAACAGCTAATATTATATATTATATTTTAAAGGTCTACTGTGAGCATTTAGGATAACATTAAGTGTTAATGGGTGTCATGCCTTACGAGAACCAACTTGTTTGAGACATAATATTGAGTAAACAAGCAAATTACCTTGTCCTTTTTTTAATAATTGAAAGTTGTTTTTTTTTTTTTAATAAGGGACGATTCATTATTTTACTTTGTACCGTGGCCGTAAATTACATCACGGCTCAGTTCATTAGTGTATTCTCTAATGTTCCCCATGTTGTGGAATGACTAAAGGAATGTGGCTTTTCTGTCACCTTATATTTATACTTTATAGTAAATACAGTATAAGCAGTGTATATTTATACAATAAAACACAAAGTCATGTATGACTGCTTATGGGAACATTCCTTAGTTACATTTTGTTCATGAGATTGTCTTGGAGTGCCAATAATAGTGATGTGGTTTTGTTAAATAGTTTTTTTGTTTGTTCTTAGAGTGAAATTACTTATGTTAGAGCTTTCTCATCTCCCAAGTGTCAGATTTGAACACAAAGACATTTTTTTATACTTCATATTTTACTCATCTTCACCAAGGGTGCCAGTAATTACAATGTTGCCCTGTAGCTCCTGTGAAAAACTAAAGAGACAAACTTCAGAAACCAAGCATGTCTCAGCTGACCAGTTATATTAGGGTTGAGAATAAAATTGTGTAAATTAGACTCGTTACCAAACTGTTTCTCTAAAGACGAACGTTAGCACGGAACTTCAGGCTGTCCTCTTTCTTCTGATGAGTAAGTATAGATAAGGATGGTTTAAA